ATTTGAAGGGGTCTGCTTGTAGCAGGCAATGCTCACTGCTGGGTAAATGGATGTTCCTAGTGATGGCAAGACGTAGGATAATCAGGCCCCAAAGGCCCCTGACTCCTTTGCTGGGCTGTGGGAAACTTTCTTACCTCCTGATTCGGAGGGAGCTCGTTACTCCTTTTTTGCTCCAGATTTGGCAAGAGCTGTGGGTGCTCTTGACCCCAGGGCAGAGGGGTGATAGCTTGTGCTTTCACAAGAGGGGGAGTTAGCTGGGTACACTCCAAGCCAGGGGCAGAAAAAACAACTTTCTGCACGCCAGGGAAGAGCTGCTTCCTGTTTGTAGCACTGGGGAATTCTTGATGAAATGAGCAAAGGCAGGAAAATCCGCCTGGGAAGACTTCTGGCGTATGAAACCTGAACATGTCTGGAAAAGCCCAGACAGGAGGGAAAATATAAGGTGCGCAAGACCTTGCTTACATTATTCTGGGCCAAACATGGTGTCATTGTATGGAGGCCAAATTGACAGAAACTGCAGAAATGTGCCTGATGTTATATAGTTTCCTTTACAGCTCTGGCAGAATTCCCCGCTCTCTGCAGCGGTAGCCTTGAAACCTGAGAAAATGTTAGGCCCTGTCCGCTTGCCTTCCTATTCAAACCATCTTGTAACTGTGACACAAAAAGCCCTTGAAAAACCACTTAGCAACTGCCCATTGTGCATTTTGATTGTGAAAATGCAAAGCAAAAATCTTTGTTACCAGCGTCTTAGGCATTTCACTGAAAATAGTATTTTTAGCAGATGTTGGAGTAGGCTGTAGGCCTCTGAATACACTCATTCTGAGCTTTTCCTTGGAAAGGAAGCTGTGAGGGATTTCCCCAGCTGACTTGTGGAATGCCCAGCAGCAGAGAGCCCTTGAGTGGGAAGCGAGCCATGCCCTCAGATCACAAGCTTGTTCCCTCTTCTGGGAATATGTGCTTATTGTCACTGCACACGAGCCACATGTTTTCTGCAGCGCCAGTGGCGGTAGCTGGTGGGAAGGAGAGCTGTTGGGAGCAAAAGCTGCACTGAGTTCTGCAGTCCAGTTGATCTGGGGGCCCACAGAAATTGTGTTGTCCTGAAAATACTTGCTTCTCCTTCCCTCTTCCAATCAAAAAACACACACAAATGCTTTCTCAGGATCCGTACTGGTCCATATTACAGCCCTGGGGCATGATAGCAGTGTGAGTTTGGCATGCAAGCTTCTGTGCAAGTTTGCTCTTCAGAGTCTGGAAGACTGTCTGGCAGCAGCAGGCCGTGCCGCAGCCATGCAGGGATGCTTATGGTTGTCACATCTAATTCAGTTCCATCCCTGGTTTGCAGCTTTGACACATTCTCATCCTGGAAAAATGCTGCATGTGACTAGGACTATTGTTTTAAAATATTCTGTCTTATTAAGCCTGTAGTGGCTGATTGTTCATATGCTGCTGATTTATAACAGCAATCAGGAAAGTGAAATGTTGTTAGAAATCCCATAAAGACAGCTAACCTCGTAATGCATTAAAGGAATACAAATAGCATCTCACGATTCATTATCACTCCTGTTCACTGCCCAACTAAGCAATCAGTTTTGGAGAGACACAAAAAAAGACAATTCTTTCTGCCCAAACTGAGGTAATTAGTGATAGAAATGGGGAGAAGTGGGAAGAGTTAGCATTATGAGGCATCGGATTTTTACAAAGGGATAGAGCATTTTCTGGCCAGCCAGTAAGGTACAGCTCTGAGGTCTCTCATCTGCCACTAAAACAGAAGGTGTGGTACTCTGGGGAAAACCTTACATGTATTTTGCATGTAATACTCATTGATCAAGTGTATATGCATCTCCATTTCCCAGACTAAAACAAAGTATTTACTGTGCCTTTACTGTTGCTGCTATGTCTGTCTACTTAGGTGTTACTGTTCTATGAAATGCCTCTTGAAGTAAAGATATTTAAATAGGCATGTTTTAAATCAGGTACAGTAAGTGTAAAAGTAGATGCGTATGTGTTGTCTCTGTAAGATTTTGGGACATCTCAGCACATGTCAAACCACGCATTGCTTTCCCTGAGATGAAAGTGAGAGTAGGCACTAGCTAGTGCTGTTTTCATGGACTTCAAGAAGTCAAGAAAAGCCAAAAGAACTGTGTGGATCTTACCAGCTCAGAGAATACATGTGGTTTAGGGGTATAAATGTAAATTTGACATATCTATAAATTTGAAGGATTACCTGCTGTTACCTATTTAGCTAGATGGTTCTGAACTAGCATCTGAAAGTTGCTTAACTAGCCTGTGGAGGCCCAGGGTGCTTACCACTCTGCTGTCTCTGTAAGTTTGGCAAGCAGCAAGACAAGGATGTTACAGGCCAGACGTAAAGAAATACCTCTTGATGTTTAGCTGAGTGTGGACTGAACATGACTGGTTGAAAGGTGTGAGTGCAAAAAACAGACAAAAGGTAATGTAATAGTTTTATCAGGTAACAGTCACCGTAGCAACCAAACTTTACCATGCCTGATGAGTTCCCCAAGTCTTTCCACTGTGTTTCTTTTCCACACAGTTTCTGTTACAGCAGGTGTGTTAAGGACTTCAGCTGCAGTAAACCGTGGTTCTACAAGGTTCTTTCCCATGGGACTGTGTGCAGTGTTTTCACAGCTATACCTTTTTTTGCATGTAATGTTAAATCAGCTTCATGTGATTTTTAGTTTTCTCTCCCCATCCAAATACTGCAAATGTTTATTCCATTGGACTTGCTGTCCATGCTAGGTCGTGTCCATGCTGGGCATGGTGCTACTGAGCCTTCCCCAGAGCCTCTGGCTGTGGCATTCTTTGGAGCAGACCAGCACCAAATTTACCCTACTCTGTTCTGTCATATCAGTAGTGCCACACACATGTTAGATAACGGGTCTGGTCTCTGCCAGGTCTGATCTTTTCTTATTTATCTTCTATTGCAAGTAAAAACTGGATTTTTTTTGTTTGTTCCCGTTTTCTTTGCAGAGCACAGATTTTGACCACAGACTCTGCTGAGTCTTTCTGACTGCTAAGATAGGATATAAAAAATAAAATTTATATTTGGGGTGGATGGCAGTGAGCTTTTAACCGCTAGGGAAAAAGATTGCCTAATTTGAAAACTGAGAATATGTTACTTCAATGAAAGGACGCATAAAGAATACTGATGATTCTTCATCAACAAGGCCTCTCTTATGTCCTTTCTAATTTGGCCAGTAAACCAGTGTCTACAGTGTGTTGGGATAAACTGCTAACTTGGAATATTTCCCCGGCTGACTTTGTGAAAGCCCTTCTGTTGCTGAAGCCGGGCAGAGTGAAACATGCCACATACGCTGTCCTTGTCTCTGGTTATGAAATGCTGCCATGGCCAGGCCAGCCTCGGAATTGCAGAGTGGTGAGCAGGGTTTCGAGGAGCATCTGTGTGGTCTGTGCAGAGCTTGGGGAAGCTTTCACAAACTTGAGGGTATTAATTCCCACGGGGCTTCGTGGGTTTATGTGGGAGCTAGTGGTAGTCTTGTTATTGAGATTAAATCCAATTTATTCACTTAGCAGCCCTGCAACAAAAACAGGAGGGAAAGGCAAAGCAGTTCTAGGCAGCAGCGCTTGGGGAAAAATGTCTCCATACATGCAAAGTAAGGCTTGACACTAAAAAATTTAACTTTAGCCCAGCTCCATGTCATTCTTATCAAATCTGATGTTTTTCTGTCTGGGCTGTCTGTGCTATGAGGATGGGTCGCAAAGAAAGGCTCCTGGGACTCCACATGAGCTGCCTTGCACAAGAGGTGGGACAGTCCCATGCTTGTATAGGAGCAGGCTGTGGGCAGCTCTGCAGCAGGGAGCTCCTCAGGAAGAAGCACCTGCCTCATGCCACATGTTCACCTGTGATGGGAAATGCTTTTTAAAGCCAGCTTCAACCCCAAGGTGTAATGCTTATTCCTTTCCAGATCTTCTGTCTTGTTCACTTTTTCTTTCCCTCATAGAGATATTTATAACGTAAAAATATTATAAAGTACCTTACTTCCATTTTGGCGTGCTTCGTGTCATTAGGTTTTGGTTCATAATTGTTAAGTATTGGTAAATATGTTGACAACTTAAACCTCACTACTGTGGCTTATTTGAAAGAAAAAGCGTACCTCAAAAGAAAATGCTTGTGCTCTTTCTTTTGTATTTCTTGTGCTTGCTCTTTTCTGTCTTCGCCCCTCTCCTTAACTTTTCTGTTTCCCAGTGCCACATGGACTGGACTTGCCGGCTCCTTAAAAAACCCCGGTGATCTAACTGTAATACAGACTGTAGTATAAATTACTCAGGTAATTTGAGGCAGTAATTGAAATCAATGAAATTGCTTGGAGGGTGGTGAGGCACTGGCACAGGTTGCCCAGAGAAGTTGTGGATGCCCCATCCCTGGAAGTGTTCAAGGCCAGGTTGGATGGGGCTTTGGGCAACGTGGTCTAGTGGAGGGTGTCCCTGCCCGCAGCAGGGGGATTGGAACTAGATGATCTTTAAGGTCCCTTCCAACCCAAACCATTCTATGATACTGTAGTGATTTTAGTAAATTATCTTTAAGACCAATCCTGGTATGCTATTTGTAATTAAAATACCTATATGATCACCATGATGTTTGATTTCCCTTGGCAGTTTTCCTTGCTATCTATCTCATTCAAGACACACTACCTGGCATATGCTAGGTATTCTTAATTTTTTTATTTCTGTGTCTTTGTGATTATTTCTTAGTGTGATTTGATATATAGGAGTCCATGATCCACCAGAGAAGATTTTCTTTTTTGTCTGCTGCATCTCTGATCCTATATTCTAAAACGGTGAATGTTTTAAAAATCAATCTGTGGAAAATTTTAATTTAAAAGAACTACCTCCTGTGTTATTCAAGTGGTAGTAAGGAAAATACTGTCAGCCCAGCGCAGGACAAGCATTCATTCACTTGCAAGCTGACGTGTTATTTCTGTTTTGAAAATAGTTTTATCCCTCTTTTTCTCCTCATCCAGGGAGAAGAAACTGAAAGCTAGAGTGCAAGAGTTAGTGAGTGCTTTGGAGAGACTCACAAAGAGCAGTGAAATCAGACATCAGCAGTCTGCAGAATTTGTTAATGACCTTAAAAGGGCAAACAGGTAAAGGATCTACCAGCAGATGGATGCACCATTGATTTTTTTAATTTTTTTTTGTTGTTTTCTGGTAATGGACTGCAATCCTCCCCCTACCTTAAGGAGCAGTTTCTGGATCCTTGCATTGTCATGAGCTGACTCATTAAAAGATTATAGTTAGAGGTGGGGGAGGTAGGACACTGAAAACTACAGAACTAAGAACAGAGTGGGGAACTAGGTTAATCTTAATTGAATTACTAGTAAATGCAGTACTATTAAAACCTTCCATTTGGTCAGACTTATGAATCTGTTATTTTGTTTAAAACTGCTCCCTTTTCTTTAGCTCCAGCCTCTTTATTAATAAACTGGCTTAGATAATCACACTTAAATTTTATTGCTCACTCAGTAGATTTTACTGGCACCATGTTTGGATGGACTGTAGCTGCCTTCCTGCAAGGAGCCTATTGCTCACAATGTTATTTTCATTAATAAATTATACTTGAAAGCTCTTGTGGTGAGGAGCAGCACCCATCTCAGCAACCTCTAGCTGACATTTGGAATGATCGTTAAAAGTTTTCAGTAACCAGTTTGCTGGTAAAGGTGTGTTCTTGCTCAAAAAAAAGATACAGAGATTAGCATTGATCTGGGTATGGATCCATAAGGTTTGGATCGAATATATTTTTAAAGCACTAGTAAATTTTAGGAAGATGATCAGTACCCAAATTTTGGAGTTCCCTGAAGGTGGGGTTTTGAGGGGGATTTTTATAGCGCTTGCTATGAACAAGCCTTTTTTTAAATGATCTTGTGTTGCCTTGTATTTCTCACAGCAACTTGGTAGCAGCTTATGAAAAAGCAAAGAAAAAGCATCAAAATAAGCTGAAGAAACTGGAATCGCAAATGATGGCCATGGTAGAGAGACATGAAACCCAAGTACGGATGCTCAAACAAAGAATAGCTTTACTAGAAGAAGAGAACTCCAGACCACATGCCAATGAAACTTCACTTTAAATGCATCTCTTTCAAAGATGCTCAGTGCCATTACAAATTTCTTTCTTTAGGAGGCTGACTTGTAGTAGCTTCAAACACTAAAAGCTCTGACTGTCAATGCTGACACATTTAAGCACCTTCTCTGGGATCCCAGAGTGGTGCCATGGGGATAATATAAGTAAGTGTTAACCTTAAGGACTGTTTCATAATGTAAAATGGCAGTGCCTGAATTATCATGCTATAGTTATGTATATTGTCTGTATTGTTTTGTCTATATTCATGCAGCTTCTCTTCCATTTTCTGTATGTCCCATGGGTGACAGTGTCACATAGCAAAATAATTCATGTTAAGAAGTTTTAATTTGGGCAGTTTGGACATAATTTGATAGGTTTCCCAATTGCTGAGCAACTTCTGCAGGCAACTTGGAATTGTACCTTCAAGACTTGGTGCTGTGGTTAAATCAACTAAATAGGCAGCTGCAGAGTAGGGAGATGATAGGCTGAATTGGTTTTTTTGCACCATGCTTGCAGTACTGTTGATCACAGTGCAGATCAGGTAGGAAAACTGTTGATTTGGAAAAAAGAAAAAAAAACAAGAAACCCTAGTTGCAGCTCTGAAAAAAATTACAATAATGGTGTATTTCGTACTGTTTGTAAGGGGATTAAAGGCTGTGAGTTTCACCATGCCAGATCATAGTCTGTGCCAAGGTTGGATAAGAAATAGGAGACCTCCTATTTATAGTGCATGGTGTTTGCAATTATTTTGTGAAACAGTTGGTTTTTCTTGTTATTACATTGTAGGTGAGGTTTTAAGAAGCTGGGCTATTTTTGTCACATGTGTAGTGCTTACTACAGCTTTCTGTGATGAAGACGTAGAATGTGTTCTTCTTTTGTACTTGTTTTGACCAAAAAAGGTACTTGTTAGGAATGTACCCGTTTAATATTGAATACATAGGCACAAAACTATAAATGTGTAGGTGTCTGGATATACAGCCACAAACAGAATGTGAATGGTGAAGTCTTCGTACAGCTTCTTAGGTTAGTTTTTGTTACTGCTAACAGTCTCTTGTTAAGTCACGTCATGTTACTGTATTATCAAACTGACTGAATTGAAAATGTTGGCCTATTATGGTAGTGAACACTAAGCCAAGCATGGCGATCAGGTTGATTTCTCTCAGGAGCCTGCTCTAACACTGGTTTCGTTCAGAAATTGCTTCTTTTTGATTGAGTACATAAAACAGCTTCCATGTTTAACAGGGCAAACTAGAGTCCATTAACTTCATTAGCCTGTTACTGCTACATCTCTACTTTGTATTTTTCAGGCTCAGTTTTCAAGTGAATCTGCTATCATGAGTTGTCTATCCTTTTTGCTTTGTGTTGAGTTACACCTCAAGTTTTATTAGTGTATTTAGAATTATAACTTTGCATTTATTCCTTCAATTTCTAGTACTAAGGAAATACTTTCGAGGACTTAAACCAGTTTTGTGTACTCTTGGGTTAGGCTGTGCAGCCAAAATAGCTGTGGGCGTTTCTGTTTGGAATATGGCATTATTGTTAAGTCTTGGTTACATCTGAAACTAGCAGTTGGTGTTCATGACATCTCTTACTACTGTAGTTGCTGTTTTCTTTTCTTAGCGTAGCAATTCCTATTTCTCTAATCTCTGATACATCAGATACAAAGCCAACATCATATATGATTGATTGCAATACCAAGTTTAAAAACTGCTGATTTCAAAATTAAGTTGTAGGTACTGATGCCCTGGGATTGGTTTTCATCAGTCCTCCTTCTCAAGATAATCACACTTCTTAATTTGTAATGTGAATGGAAACTTTTTCAAACCAAACCAGTCAGTTGAGAGAGCAGGCACATTGATTTCTTACTGTCTTTATGATTTTGCTAAGTATCTGTCTACGGTGTTTCCCTTTTTTTTTTTTTCCCCAACAAGTTTGTCACTAACAGGAATATGGGGTTTTGCCATAAGCTTCAGTGGTAGCTTATCGTACCTGTTTCTGAAGAAACACAAAGAAAATTATCCACTGTTTACTGTGGCAAAAATGCAGTTACAGTTTTGTCTTCTTGCACCTGAAACACCCACGTAACTTAAAGTTGTCTCAAACTGTCCATCTGAAATACCTTTCACTTGAGGTGACTAGAAACCACTGCTACACTGGATTTCCTCTTAGGCTCAATTTCTTCTATTTCTTGGTAGCTAGAGAAGCTATTAGACGTAATACAATGAAGCTTAAGGTATTTGAATTGAAACCTGTCTTCAAAGGAAAGATACAAATTAAGAAAGCATGAAATGCACCTGGGTTTAAAGGCATAAAAAGCTGCAGCATCCCTCAGTGCCTTTTTCAGGCCTAACAATTTGCTGATTCTGCATAAAACTGAATGTTGTTTTACTACGTTTACTGCTTATCTTCTGCACCAACTGTGCTATAGAAGTGGTTTAGAATAAATTCTAGATCAAATGTAAGCCACTCCCCCTTTCTTCCCATAGGGCTCATGAATGAAAAAGCAAGACTAGTATTGTATAGCCTCAGCAGTAGGTTGCCAGAGCACCCGGTATTTTCACTAAGCAAGCAGCTTCTTTTGTTGGCATTCTGGAAAAGACCCATAGGGAAGTGGTGAAAGGTTTACTGTTATTGTGAAAACTGTTTAACAATTAGCTGCAGTTCCAGGATGCCTGTTAAAATGACACCAACCTTGAGAATAGATGCCAAAAAATTAACTCCATTTATGCAACTGTTTGAAATAGCAGCACACCAGCCTATAAATGAGTGTGCAAATCACCTTGAGTCACAGCAACCTAACTCACTTAACATTTGTAGCAGAAATAACACATTTGCCAAGCAAGAAAAATAGGTGGTTCTTGCCAACAAAACCCAAGTTGTTCACTCATTAATTAATCTTACGGTGTTTTTTTTTAATTATTATTAGTCACCAGAGTGCATGAAACTTCATATTTCATGATGTGTTCAGAAAAAAGTAGTTCTTTTCTAATTAAATGGATAAATCTTCACCAGCTTGAATGTATTGTTAGCTATTGCAAAGCACATGTGACTAAGTTTGCATTAATGTCAGTATTGTTCTACTGGTTTTACTAGGATTTTCTCCTCCTTTTTTACTGTACCATACATTGCAATCTTAGAAACTTTTCACCTTACTGAATTAGCTTTAATTGTGTTGCTGCTTTTTAGTTTCCTAGCTGCTGTAAAATAGCTATTTTGTGTTTGATATAGAATTGTAAAAACTGCATTTATTTATACAGAGACATTTATAATACTTATTTTACAAATGTTCTTATATTCTGAATAAATTTCTAATGCTGTTTCTTTGCCTCTGCGGTTGCTTTAACCATACCTTGTCATCTTATTGTTGAATGGGTCTGCTTAAAGGTACCACAAAGACTTTCTCCAAGATAGGTAAGTTATTGAGGGAAATGCTATGACACTGCCAGGAGAGTTCCCATAACAGGATCATGAAGAGCTGGTAAGAACTCATCAGAGATCTGATCGTGGGTTTTAGCTGAGCTCAGGAACCTTAGAACTTGCCACAAACCGTCTACAACTTCAATGAACACTTTATAGAAATGGAAGGGCACATATGAAACCATTTCCATACATCCAGTTCTTTTAATTATACGTTATATGGGCAAAAAAAATTTTAAAAAAATCACTATTTCATAAATATTTTAAAAGCACTGATTGTTCACATACTTCCTTTCTCCAATATCTTTAACACTTTTTTTTTCCCATTGTGTTCGATGGGCCCCTTGTCCACCTTTACAATTGACTTTAAAAACTAATACTTACTTTCCTGGCACTATATATAACCAGTGCTGCTGACTGGCTTAAGGCAACATTTAAACATTCTACAGTGAAACAATAACCTGTACCAGCAGCACAGACTTTACATTTCACACTGATCAGCAATGCTTATATTCATACTTCAGTACTTCAGTAAGTTTATGTATAAAGTAATTTAATTTTACAGAGAAAAATTACAGTATAGAAGAAAATGTCAATTTAGTCATAGCCTCTTACATCGTGTGCTTCAGTTTCTGAATCAGTGAATAACAAATAAAATCATGATAATCAGTACAACAGATGTTACAGGTAGTTACAGATTTTATTTACTAAAATTGAAGAGTTGACTAATGCAAACTGTCTTCAAGATAACATAATGGAAATTGAATAGAATCTGTAACTTTACATGGTTTTAACCCTGTTAGTTGTACATACTTTCTACTTAATTAGCACCGATATGCCACTTACATACCAGTGAGGAAAACAGATCAAGTTCTTGAGCTTTAAACAAACAGGAGGAAGACATAACCCTTCATGCATGAGCCATATCATAAAACACTGGCTCCCTATTTTCTGCGAGGCATACAATGCTGCACAGAAAAGCGTTATCATTGAGCAGCAATACCTGAGTCAGCCCAGGCCCTGGAGCACGTACAGCAATCTAGCACTATGCCAGAATTAATGGACAAAACCCCACCTTTGTCTGTGGAGTCTGTTTTGCTTTTTAATGTTAAAGTGCCTCGCAAAAACAGCTAAACTACTCCTCAGGGCTGAAGTACAGCTTCCACATACTGCAGTGCCATGCAGACACAGGAAAGTTACTTAAGGATCCTGTTTTAAGTGTAGGCTTGAGAAGTATTGGCTGAGAGCTCTTACACAGTTTTGCATACTTTTCCTGCATTAACAAAAATATGTACCCAACCAGTAGGATATAAATGGTTCATCTCCCTAGTTCAGTAATTTTGCTCAAACCTGCTTAAAACATTTTGCAATGTAAGTTTTTCTCACAGTGGGAAGTGTGTTGTAGAGAACTGAGTTTGCAGGATCTGTATTCTTAAAAAGCTATAAATGCCTTGTTTTAAAATGATTAATGCTCTATGAGCTGTAATCATTTTCTTAAAGGCACTGAACTGTAACCCATAATGGAAACTAGAAGCTCGTTCTTCTGATCAACAATATAAATGCTTAAGAATGACAGAATATTCAACAGTG